CGCAAAGTGCTTTACATATCTCATTTGATTCTCACAACAACCCAGTGAAGTAGGTGCTATTGTTATCTCCATTTTGCAGATGAGAAAACTGAGTCTGAAAGAGGTTAAGTGAGTTACCTAAGATCATATAGCTGTAAGTATCTGTGACGGGATTTAAACTTTGGTCTTCCTGACTCCAGCTCTAGTACTCTAATCTTTTCAATGCCTATTGATCCTTTCCAAAGACCTATGTAATCTTGCAGCCTTACAGTCCTACCCTAGGTGTCTATCCTTCCCCCAAAGGAGAAGGTACTTGGAATTGCTAAAGGGTTGATAGCTTTTCCCTCTGGGAACTTCACAGTCAGCATTCAGAGTACTAGTCAAGGGCAAGCAGGTCAGGGGCTGCCTCTTCACATCTTACTATTCTGCCCCTCCATTTAGTCCAGGCACTGAGAGTGGGGCAGTAACTCTTCTTTTTGGCAAGAGGTTTGGTTCAGGGATTTGGCATGGACCAGGAATTCAGTGTCCAGTTTTAGGAGGCAGCATGACTCAATGGAAAGAATATTGTACTTGGGGTCTTTATGAATCCCAGTTCTTCTACTTGTTACTTATGTGATCTTGCACAAGTCACTTAAGATCCTAAGACTATAGATTTAGGGCTGGAAGGACCTCAGAGGTCATCTGGTCCATCTCCCTGCTTTTACAGATGAGGAAACTGAGACCCTAGAAGGATGAAGGGCCCAACATTGTCAAGTGTCATTCAAACAGGAGAAGTGGGCCTGAACCCCATGTCTTCTGACTTCAGAGTCATTGCTTTGTCCACTATGCCATGCTGCCTTGTCTGGCCTCAGTTTCCTCATCTATAAAATGAGATAGTTGGACTAGAAAACCTCATAGTTTCCTTTCATCTCTAGATCCTGTATTCCTATGACCTTCCTCACCAAGAGTTTTTACCTCATCTTTTGGGATACTCCCCACCCACGAAATTATGAAGTTATACTTTTTTCTTGGTGAAGAAAGCTTCAGTTTTAGAATAAAAATCAATGTAAAATGGGATTTGTTTTGTAATATACATATACATATATATACATATATACATATATACATATATACATACATATATACATATATATGTGTGTGTATATATATATATATATATATACACACACACAGAGAAAGAGAGAGAGAGAGAGAGAGAGAGAGAGCGCTAATTTTGCTTGACTCCATCTCTTTTGTAGTACAAGTGATAGTGACATTGAAATTTCTAACAATGAATGGAGATAATCTAAACTTTGAAGCAAGGCCAGTTTATTAGTATAGTTCTTCTACTATATTCCAAGGCTATGGTAGGACAGAGCAGGGAGGGAGTTCTAGAGACAAGAGTTACATAAAATGGTCACTTTCAATGAGCAGTAATTACTCAACAAGCTAGTTACAAGTTGACATGAAAACACATCATTACCATACTTAATTTTATTCCTTGTACCTTCCTCTATGGAAATAGAATATGGAAATTCTCTTTTGTTCCAATGAAAGACACTAGTTTTTCTGAAAGCTCTTGTTCTGAGCTGGGCTTGGGAACAAGGAAGAGCACCTGCCAACATTGCACTCTTTACAATGTGATCCCTCCATAATGGGATATAGTGACCTGGTCTTGTTTCATTGCTGACATCAAAATATACAGGAGAAGTGGGCCTGAACCTATGAAACAATTAAGCCCGAATTCATTGGGTATGACGTGGTAGATGAGCAAGACTGTTTTTCGGAGTATACCTTCAGATGGCTCTGGAATGGGGCAGCTAGGTGGTGTAGTGGATAGAGCAACAGCCCTGAAGTCAGGAGGGCTGGAGTTCAAATCTGGCCTCAGACCAAACTTAACCCCAATTGCCTTAAAAGGAAAAAAAAAAGAAAGAAAAAAGATGGCTCTAGAACCAGTCAGATGGGGGCCAGGGCTTTCCTTTGTTGTCATTGATTTTTTTTTTTTGCAAGTGGCTATCAGAGGGAGCATGAGCTGAAGACCATTTCTATGAGATGCTAGGTTAGATCAAGGGTTGTGGGAAGGGATGACTCAATTGGAAGAGGTTTTATCCTAACACCATTGGATCTGGTGGGCCAGTTCTAACTAGAATCTCTGAAGTCAGCTTAGGAAAACTTCTTTGTTTAACAAGAGCCATGATTTTTCTTTTTCAGAACAGAACCAAGAGTCCTAGTATTTGAAGTTTGTACACAAACCCAGCCTTGTTTAATAGAAATGCAAAAATTTTGAATTGGTAGGGAATCAAAAGGGAAAAGTAAGGGGATCTGGTTTCTAACCCAATCTGTTCTGTCTGATCTTGGGCAAATCACAACATTTCTAGACCTCAACTTCCTTGTCAATAAAATGAAAGTTGAACAAATTATGTCCAAAGTCCCTTCTAGCTTTTAATGAATGATTCTATGATTCTATGATAAAAGAAAGGAGAGACCGTTTTATTGACTAAGAGTCAGTCAGTTGTGTATATGGCAGACCTATATATCTCATTATCTCAGCATAAATACTAGTAAATTTAGTAGGAAACATATCTAAATAGCGCCAGTGTTGGAAATTGATTTGAACAAGCAAAAGACACTATATTATTTCCTTATTTTATTAAAAAATTTTCTGATTATCTGAACACGGACTGCCTCGTTCATTAATTCATTCAACAAACATTCATTAAATGCCTGTGAAATATAATGAAATATACTGGGGATATAAGGAAGAGAAAAAAATGTCATATTCCCTATTCCCAAGGAGGACTAAAAGGGTGACTGTGCATGAGGGAAGGCCCACTTCAGTTTAGGTAGGATGACCTTGTCATGGACTCAGCCTCCATAGACCTAAGGAATGCATTGGGAAAACCAGTTGAGAAGCTTTGATGGCATGGTTACCAACACAGTGGATTTTTAATTGCATGATCTGAATCCAAATCTCTACGTAACTGCTTCCTAGCTGTAGATTAAGTGAGGTTACATGTAAAGCACTTTCCAAACCTTCAAGCACTATGTAAATATTCTTAGCATCATTATTGGCAATAGGTAGCAAAGTAGATACAGCACTAGGCCTGAAGTCAGAATAGACCCAAGTTCAAATCTAGCCTCACACACTTAACAGCTCTATGGCTTTGGCCAAGTCACTCTGTTTGCCTTTGTTTCCTCATTTGTAAAATGGGATAATAACTCCCAGCATTGTTGTGAAGATGAAATGATATTTGTAAAGCACTTAGCACAGTACCCGGCTGAGGACAAGATCACAGGTTAAGAACATGCCAGTCAGAACTACAGGAGCAACAACCTTTAGCCAATGCATTGACAGCAGTTACCAAAGCTACCTTTACCACTTTGCTTTTTAATAGGTTAACAATTTTGAGTTTTTATCAAATTGGGGGATGGAAAGAGGTTGGTTTTTTTTAAAGAAAAAAGAAAAAGAAATTATTTCAAAAAGTAACTTACCTGGTAAGCAAAGGCAGCAGTGCTAAGTGTAGGCAAGAACCTTTTGTAGATTTCTTTTCCGCTATTTGGCTTCATGGTCTGATCTTTTTATTTAGAGTAAATTTACTCCTCCCCCCCTCCCCTTAATAAAATCACATCAGATAAATGTACCAGTGTATCCTACCAGGGATGCAGTGGGGCATGGAGTGAGGCATAATGGAAATATTATTGTGATTGTGGAGAAACTAAAAACATGGGGTTTCATTTACCTGCTTCATGCTTGACCTGGCTCAGCCACTGCTAGCCACGTGATGGCAAAGCCTTTCAAACTCTAAACACCTGTGATTCCTGCCTACCCTGAAAGGACAGCACCCAAACCTCCCATTTTCATCACTGTCTCTTCTACTCATTTTTCTTTTTTCTTTTTTTCATTTTTATTCTAAGTTTACACATCATCAACACTAATAAGTATTTACATAAGTGAACTAAAATAAACATTTGTAAAACCGTAGCTCCAAGTTATTTACAATTAATTTTTTTAATATATATACATTAACTAGAACAAAATAAAACACATGCCCTATTTGCTTCCACGTCTCCTTTAGATCTATTTTTACTTCAGCATATTTTATTTGGATTTTGTTAATGTTGTTGTTATTCTATTTTATATAGTTATAGTCAATAACATGTGTATGTGTATTAACCATATTATTTGTGTATGTATGTGCACACATACACACATGTGTTTGTTCTGATTCTAATTTCTTCTCTTGGTGTGACTTCATGTCTTCCTAAGCTTCTTTGTATTCTTCATATTTGTCATTTCTTAAGGAGAAATAATATTCCATTATGTTTGTATTTTATAATTTCTTAATTAAAAATTAATTTAATTAAATTAATTAAAATTACTATTTCATGGAGCAGCTAGGTGGTGCACTGGATAAAGCACTGGCCCTGGAGTCAGGAGGACCTGAGTTCAAATCTGACCTCAGACACTTGACACTTATCAGCTGAGTGAGCTTGGGCAAGTCACTTAAACCCTATTGCCTGGCCCCCCCCAATTTCTTTTTTTTTACTATTTCTTAATTATTAGACATATGGGTTTGCTTCTAGGTTGTTGCAATCATGAATAAAGCTGCTATGAATAGTCCCGTGTGGATAAAAACAAAATTATTTTTAATAACATTCTTATGGTATAGTCCCAGTAGGAGAAACACTGAGTTGAGCAGCATCAACAATAACAACAGCAATAACAATAATAAAATCATGACCACGTATGTAGACAGCTCTTGGGGTTTACTGAGGCATCGCTTTCCAAAGAGCTCACATAGATTCTCTCCTGGTTTTTCCCTAGGGTTCAGATCTTTTACCTGGATTTTCTGAGCTATTTTTAGTGAATCAAACTAGATCTTGCGACCTGGACCCTGAGTAAGTTTTGCAGTTATTTATTAGATGTGAGTTTGAAAGGCTTGTACTTAGTTCCAAGTAGCAACTTTTCCTGCAACTGGGATTGGCTGCTACTGAATGAGCCTTTGAGCCTTTGTTATATCCTTAGAGTTTAAATGGCCGGGCATTTTCGCCAAAGAGAGAGTGCGCCATGTTCTGATTTGTTGTTATTGCTGTTGTTGTTTTAATTTTCTTTTTCACTCAGGATGCTGTTAAAAACAAAATAAAAATGCAACTGTTAAAATAGCTATATATAAACCTAAACTTATAACCATGTTATAGTGATAAAATAGCTACATTGTCTATATATACTATAAATGTACTATGTTACATATCATACTAAATTATATAACAATGTAACACAATTACTATATTTAAGAAAGGAAACTTATTGTAGCACAATGCCTGGCTCTCAGTGAGCATTTTGTAAATGTTTGTTGATTGACTTAATGAACAGGCAACTAGCTGCTAGGGGAAAAAAGGGAATGTAGTTTAAAATTCTTAGCACCACATTCTAAGAGGAATGTTGACAATCTAGAAAGTGTCTAGCGCATAAAGAATGGTGGGAAATCTGGAATCCCGTCATAAAAGGAACAGTTGAGAGACCTGGGGTCATTTAGTTCAAACTAGAGAAAATGCAGGAGATGGATTAGAGCTGTCTTTGAATATTTTAAGATCTATTGTGTGGAAGAGAGAATACTTACTCTGCATGGTTCAGAGTACTACTCAGACCAATAGACAGAAGAAAGAAGGAGGAAATTTTGGGCTCAATAAAAAGGACTTTGTAACAATCAGAATTTTAAAATAATGGAATTAACCGTATTGTAAAATAGCGAGCTTACTTTAACTTGAAGTATTCAAACAGCTGGATCTATAAGGGATTTTGTTTTTAGAAAGATTGTAGTACATGAACTAAGTGATGCAAAGATTTAAATCAATTAAATCTTTATTAAGCACCTACTGTGTGCTATCACTGTTCCTGCTACCAGGGAAGGTACAGTTTATATAAGATATGTTTTCTGCCTTCATAAGGCTTATAGTCTACTAAGAGAATATATTGTCTTTAATAAACTATCCTTAAAAATAATGTATGGTAAATACACTAGAGAGAGGCAAGCAAAGTACGACATGGAATTCCTTCCAATCCTAATATTCTATCATTCTGTGAGTAGAAAGTTTTTCATCTGTTTGTTTAGTCCCAGCAGAGCTGAAAGCAGCACTTTAAGCCAATTGTAGAATTGTCAAAGAAGAAAAGAACTCTTCCTCTTCATGCAATTGGGAAATTATTAGAGCAGCTCAGCTGTGATGATGGCAAAAGGTTGCAACTCACTCTCCAACATCAACAAATTCAGCAATTTCAGCAGCTAGAAACAATACAGAACACAGGCTGCCCTACAAGCGGATCTCTCTTTGTCAGTGTCCCATGACCTCTTGAAATGAAATACCCTCAAAATAATAGAGCTAGAGCTGGTGGCAACCTCAGGGGTCATTTAGTTTAGGTCTGATTTTACAGATGCAGAAACTGATTCTGAGGAGCTTAAGTGACTTACTCCAGGTCACATAGGATATGACCATCAGAAGTAGGGTTTGAACCCAAGGTCTTTGCTATTAGAGGCTAGTGTGCTTTTCACTGTACAAGAAATAGATTCAATGGTGTTATTAAGGATACAGCTGGCACTGACCTTGTAACAGGATAGCCTCCAATGGCCTCAAACCATTGGAAACACATGGGAATCTCTCTCTCTTTCTGTTTGTCTGTCTGTCTCTGTCTCTAAATTTTTTTCTAAATTTTTCTAAATTTTTTTAAAAGACAATTGGGGTTAAGTAACTTGCCCAGGGTCACACAGCTAATAAGTGTCAAGTGTTTGGTCTGAGGCCTGATTTGGCCTCAGGTTCTCCTGACTTCGGGGCGGTGTTCTGTCCACTTCGCCACCTAGCTGCTCTAGTCTCTGTCTGTCTATCTGTCTCTCTCTCTCTCTGTGTCTGTCTCCCTCTGTGTTTGTCTCTCACTCTCTCTCTCTCTCTCTCTCTCTCTCTCTCTCTCTCTCTCTCTCTCTCTCTCTCTCTCTCTCTCTTTGTCTCTGTCTGTCTGTCTCTGTCTCTGTCTCTCTCTGTGTGTCTCTCTCTATTCCTTGCCTTTGCTTTCCTGTCTCTCTCCTCTAATCCTATGAGGCTCTTCAAAAACAGTATCAGGAGGGCTGGCCTCAAATACCAGCAGTGAAAGACCTGCTTCTTCTTGCTTTTATGTGCTTGTGTTTAAAGCAGCTCCCTTGTAGAAGAGAGACTAATGTACTCCACAGGGACACTGAAACAGCTGCTGCCACCTTGCTGCTCCTACAGCTGGGCTCTTCTGCCTTCCTTGCTATGCTAACAGTCCTATGGGATTGTAATGGGCAGCAGCTGCTTGGGCCATGGGGAAGTTTCACCCAGGTAATTCCAGCAAGAAACTGATCTATGTTCTCAGGACACCCCTAAGGAGCACTTTTGTTTGTTTTTACCTGTGACTTTCTCAGTGTCAGGAGCTTCAGGTGAGGAAATTTCCTCTATCAATGCAGATTGACAACTGTTTACAATTAACATTCTTAGAGAATTGCCTTAGAGTATGGAAAAGTTCAGAGACTTGCCCAAGGTCACACAATTACAATTTTTGCTACTTTAATGGATGAATTCCATCTTCTTGTCAATATATTTTGATGTCAGCAGTTATTTCTATAGATAAGCCTCCTTTCTGTAGGTGAAATAGTAATGTTTAGGCCTGGTACAGTTTTATATAAAGTCTTCATGTAGGACACCTCAAATGTTTAGTTCTTTACTGGAGATAAACCACTTGCTTTTAATGTGTTTCTACAGCAGAAGATTAAAAAAATTAATACATTTAATTGTTGCCTTTTATCTCTACATCTCAGTTATTTTCAATTCTAAACTCCTCCATACTGACCCCTTTCTTTTAAAAAGAAAAACAACTAAGAAAAAAAACCCATTTGATAAAGAAGTCTCCTTTGACAACATATGCTACACATATACACACATACATCTATCATCTATCTATCTATCTATCTATCTATCTATCTATCTATATCTATCTATCTATCCATCCATCCAATCCATCTATCTATTATCTATTTAATCTCCCACCTTTCTGATGTGAAGGACTATTCCCCCCCCCATTACTCAGAGTTCGATTTCCTTTCCAGTCACTCACTCAATCAGAATTAATTTCAGCATTTATTATTGTACTCATTGTGTATATTATTCTCCTGGTTCTGTTCGTTTTTCTCAGCATGGTTTCATAGAAATCTTCCCACATTTCTCTTAAGTCCTTATTTATAATTTCTTATTGAACAATAGTATTATGTTATATTCATAATATAGGATTGAGAACTGATGGGCACCTACTGGTGCTACCCATTCACTTACCACAGCATTTTCAGCCATTCTCTGATGAATGGGCAATTTCCCGCCCCTGCCCCCCCCCAGTTCTTTGGTACCACAAAAGAAAACTCACTAGTGGGATTGCTAGGTCAAAGGGTATGAAGAATTTATTAACTTGTCTTACATAATTGTAATTTATAGATTTAATTGGACCAATTTACATCTCCTCCAAGAGTCTGCCTGTCTTCCCACAGCCCCTTGAACAAGGACTGTTCACAGGGGTTTTTGTTTTTTTAACTTGGGTAATTTCTATGTATAAGGTGAAAATTCAAGATTGTTTTGATTTGCATTTCTCTTACTATTGGTGATTTAAAAGAGCATGATAGAATATTAAGTATGATCATTTAGAACACAAGACTTTAGTAACTATTCATATCCTTTAACTGCTTCACTATTGACTTTGGACAATATATATTTGGGTAAATTCTTTGCATATTGTATATGTCAAACTTTAATTGGTGATATTTGTTATAAAATGAGATATCTATTGCAATTTTTTTAGATCTATAGATTTTCTTCTAGTTCTGCCTTTGTTGACTTTATTCATACAGTTAAAAAAAATGTTATGTAGTTAAAATCGTCCATTTTGTTTTGTGCTTTTTCCTATCCCTTCTTTGGTTAACAGTTCTCCCCCTCTAGCCATAGTTATGAAATATACTTGATTTCAATGTCTTCTAAATTTTTTATGGTATGACTTTTTATGTTCAGGTCAAATATTCATTTTGAGCTTATTGCAGTATATGGGACAAAATCTTGTTCTAATCCTAATTTCTGCCAAAGTGCTCTATAGTTGGGCTGATGGAACAAGGCAGATGGCAAGATGTCCACTCAGAGGGGAAATGGTGCTGTATTCAGTACCACTTGTGGTATTTATCTTCTTCCATAATCTGAAACTTGACACTAAATCAGAGGGCCTGAGCACCAAATTTTCTAATATCAAAATATAGTTTGCCCTTCCTTTTGTTTGATTTATAGTGTTTTAATATCTAGTTGTAATACAGCCCATGGCTCAAAAAATCATTCTTCTTGCTATAAAATATTATATCTAGGGTTAGAAAAAATAATTCGCTGACTGCCAAAGAATTTTAAAAAGTAGACACTTAATAAACATTTAAATTGAATTGGGTTGAATTATAAGATGGTAGTGTTGTTATGGTGGTCAGTCTATTGCCTGGTATAGCCCAGAGTTACTAAAAGAGTGATAGTTGGGCTTATGGTAATGATGATGGTGGTGGTGGTAGGTGTTTCCTTCCTTCCTTCCTTCCTTCCTTCCTTCCTTCCTTCCTTCCTTCCTTCCTTCCTTCCTTCCTTCCTTCCTTCCTTCCTTCCTTTTCCTTCCTCCTCCCTCCTCCCTCCCTCCCTCCCTCCTTCTTTCCTCCCTTCCTTCCTCCCTTCCTTCCTCCCTTCCTTCCTTCCTTCCTTCCTTCCTTCCTTCCTTCCTCCCTTCCTCTCTTCCTCCCTTCTTTCCTTCCTCCCTCCCTTCTTTCCTTCCTCCCTCCCTTCTTTCCTCCCTTCCTTCCTCCCTTCCTTCCTCTCTTCCTTCCTCCCTTCCCTCCTTCCTCCCCTCCTTCCTTTCCTCCTTCCTTCCCTCCTTCCCTCCCTCCTTCCCTCTCTCCTTCCCTCCTTCCTTCCCTCCTTCCTTCCCTCCTTCCTTCCCTCCTTCCTTCCTTCCTTCCTTCCTTCCTTCCTTCCT